GACACAGATATTGTAAAAAGCATAAAAGTGACTCAGATGAATCCTGCTGCCTTTTTATCATAGTTGCTCATGCCGATTCTGGCACATTGAACCTCCTGGTGAACACTGCGAAGTGTGATTGGGAAGACATAAAGATGTGTTGACATTGACAGATGATGACACACACTGGAGATCTGCAATTGACCACGTCTCACTGCTATGCATATACCAATACTTCAATACTTTGGTGGTGCCTTCCAGATGTTGTTGAACTGCAACTCCCATCAGCTGTAGCCAACATGGCCAATGGTCAGGGATGCTAGGAGTTGTAGTCCAACAACATCTGGAGTCTGATTACTTTTGTTTTATGGCATGCACCACAGCGATTATCAGTGTACAAACAGTAGGTGTACAGTGCAGAAGCAGAACACAGAGAAGCTGATAAGACAGTGTTGAAGAAGGAAGGCCATTCAGATGTAAAGAAGTCTGAAATCAGAAGCTGCTTCTCTCCCCCCCTCCCCCCTTTTGTTTTATGGGGATAAATTGCTTAGAACTGGAAGCAGCTGCAGTACCTGCCTGAGGGCAGGAAAACATGGAAGAAACCTTGCAAGCGTTCCTCTTTATCCCAACACTGCTAGGATGTTTGGCATACAGTGTATTTTTCTTCAATAGTATTTTCTATAGTACTTCTGGTAAAAGAAAACTTTCTGCAACATTAGGATTCTAGGAAACTAATTCTTGGAGACGAAGAAAAAAGAAAAAAAAAAGAAAATAACCAACAGCAGCAAATTCTGCATTGATTTTTTATGTTGACATTTCTCTATCATCATTACTAAGCTGGTGACAGTGTGAAGGGCACAATTATTTATGTTCCATCAAATTAGCCTGTAATTCAAATCCCTGACGATATCTCCAGCCTAGATAGTTTATACTCCTGCAGAATGTTGTTTCTGACATTACACATCTTTGCTAATCACTGGAAGGACATGGGAAAGTGAGAAAACTTTGACATGAGGAGATGGCTGCAAGATTTTCACCATCTGCTGGTACCGACAAGGGTTTCATGCATGTTCTGATTAAAGGCATGCTATATAAACAGCACATGGATGAGGCTGTTTATTCCAGACTTGGGAAACCTGTGGCCCACCAAATGTAGTTCAGAGTCCAACGCCCACCAGCACCAGTCAAAATGCTCAATGGTAGGGAAGATGATAGATGTAGCAACTGGAGGGTCACAGGTTCTTTAAAGTTGAAGATGTTTGGGGAAGGGAGTTTTTGACAGCTGTGGTTTCTACTGTCACCACAAAATGGTAACCTGCCAACTAAGGTGAGAAGTAAGGCCAAGAAGCAAGAGATTGGCACAGCAAGGGGAGCTGAATTTCCCATGCTGCTTTGAGCTAACGAACCAACACCTTAGCTGCAAGCTTATCCATTTATTATAGAACTTGTTTGAGCAACAGCTGATCACCGTATCACAGAGCTCCACCATCACCCAAGTGAAGGAACAAAGATTTTTTCCGTTAGCAAACAAGGATGCATCCTGCCCTGTTTATACCTCCACCCTCCAACACCCCTGTTATGGTGGACGAAATTGAGAATTTAATTCTTTCTCATTTTCAGATTCTTATGAGGAGGAAGGTTTCCCCCAACACACCTGCTCATTTCCCCCACTTGAAATGTGAACCCCTGTTGAGAAGGAAGCAAAATATACATCTCTTGCCCACCTAGATTGTGCGGTGTGCAGGACTGAAAAATCATTATTATGTGGGGAGGGAAAGGCATGCCAGGGAATGATATCGCTATGTACCAGACAATATTCTATTTTTGAGGGGATGAAGTATACCTGCAAGATACAAGTATGATTAGGCGCCAGCAGGTATTCCAGCAGCAGATGGAAATGGAATGGGATAGTTTCAATCATCTTTGAGGGGGTTGAGACCTTGAAATACAGAGCGGGTAGGATGAAAGACTACAAAATATTCTAGGTCACTTAAATGCTAGGTTTGACTGCAGTGTCAAATTACGTAATCACCACAATAGCCCAATTCACTCTTTCGTTCGTTCGTTCTTTCTTTTTTTTGGTGCGCCAGAGTCTTCTGTTGCCCAGTGGGAACTAGATAATAACATCTATTTCTGCAGAAAACAACATGGTTTTCATCTCAGTGTGTAGTTTTTACTTCACAGCTGAAGACTACAATTTATAAATGGCAACAAGCGTATGGAAAATTCCTTAAATGAAGGACTTCGTGGTGTGTTATTGTTTAACCCCTATTTTTCACTTTCTCTAGATTTATTGGCATTCACAGCTGCAACATTAAATGACTCTGAAAGCAGAGCAATTAATCCAGAATCCTATTTGTTTTAATCTAACACTGTCAACTGGTTTTAGGTTTCCAGTCAAGAGAAAAAAAATGTTTGTTAAGCTCCACAGCTCTAGCTAATGTCTAAAGACAATCCCCTAGAAAAAGGTGTGAAGATGTTTTATAGACTGAACAGAGATTTATTAGGGTACCTAACTCTGTTTCTGCAGATGCCTTGTGAATTATAATGAGATTATTAAAACTTTTACAAATCATTACATTAAAAATCTGACATGGCTGCTTTTGAAATTAGACCGCTTCTCTGTAATTGCTAATGGTGCATTACTGGTGATAAGGCTTTGGAAAAAATTCTCAATAAAAACTTCTTCAAAAATTTAAGATTTATTTATTTCACTACCCCGTTATAAATTCAAGGATAATAGGTTTATGTGCATCAGAATAGCTGAACGATCACATTTATGTCAGTGATAGAAGACGTTCTCCTGCTGCAAACTTTAATTAATTTTCACAGATAGTTAATTTTCTGTTTCATTATCATCTCCCTAAATTTGAAAGACAAACAATTTATAAACAAACAGAAAACTTTTAGAGGGGGAATGAATTTCCAAGCAAACAGAAAATTAGCTGCAAGAATAAAATGAGAACCAAAGTAGTAATACACCTATCTATTGACTGGCTTGCTTTTAAAGAACGATTTATGATAAACATATTCCAAAGCTCCAACTAAAAAAAGACACTTTTTTAGAAAAGGATGTCAGTCCAAACCTATTTCCAGGTAACAAATGACTTTGGGCTTCATACAAAGCAAATAATAGCTTCAGTGCCCTTAAACATCAGGAGATGAAAAATATACACCTCAACATGTCCTTTGAAAGGGTGACCCATTCCATTAAGGGCAATATTCCAGGCCTTCTACTCTTCCCAGCAAAAGGTAAATTTAAGCAGCTACTTACCATGATGTACGACACCCTTCAACCCGTGGATAATAGGCTCCAGTGCGGGATTGTCCCTCTGATTGACCTACATGTAAATAATACATGATTGGTTAAATCTATTCTGGCATCAGGCAGAAGAAGAGTCTCAATTTAATCTTCTAAAGGAGAGGAAAGATGCTATCTAGGAAGCTGCTTAGTCTTTATATTTAAAACAGGTCTTCACCAAACAATGAACACTTAAGATTTATAATATAATAAAATAGGTGACAGAGACTAAATCACAAGAAAGTCTTCAGAAGGCATTAACACATTAGAAATATCATCATAACCTGGGAAGGGGGTGGGAGGAACGAATAGTTGATAGCTCTACACTTGCTTCTTTCACTGCCACAGATAAAAATGTCTTAGATAAATATAGAAATATCAAGTGATCAAAGAGCAGCCACTTTTTTCCAGGCAAGAGACTTAAAGGCATAAAACATGGAGGTCAACTGAAGACAACGAAGTTCTTCTGAATTGCAAGTGAGGTGGACTAGTCCTTGATAGAACGGAAAACTTTTATTTACTTCATCTTCTGCAGATTTTATTATGTCATTTATATGCCACCTTTGTGCCCAGGTGCCCAAGGCCGTTTACAAGGTTAAATTACTAAAACAAATAAATGCCATAAAGAGTCAAGCTAGCCCTGTAAAGTTAGAGAAGGGACAGTTCAACTGAGGCAGGCCCTGATGTTGTCTTTGCCTCCCTCCCTCATTCTCATCTTCCTTCCCAGAGGGAAGGTGGTGTCTGCTGGCCCTGTGGGGTGGAGGGGATAATCTGACTGGGGCAGATGAATGCCTAGAAAAGGTCTAAGAATCATCTGCAACATGGCAATTTCAGACAATTAATTTCTACTTATGTTTTTTGTAGCAGAGGGTTTACATATATCGTACTGCACTTGCAAATGTCAACGACCAGTCCGTGGCCTGTGGCGATGGTGCTGTAAACCTCACAGAAAAGGTTCCTACACCTTTGCATCCAAACTATAAGACCATCTTATTTCACATTTCAACTACAACATTTGTTAAATGCTTCGAGGAGGTACATGTGAAAAGTGCCGTTAGCACGTGCATCTGTCAAGAAATTCAATGATTTGGGTATATGCGTTAATGGTCAAAATTGAAAAAGTACCCTAGGCCAAACTCCAATCTATAGGATGACCCCCAAGCAAGTTCCCATACAAACCGGAATTCTCGTTCATTTCAATTGAGGGGATTGCTCGTGTACACGAAGGGATTTGTGGGCACATTGTGCTCACAATGGGGAAAAGCTGGTTTTTACTTCGAAACCCTGTTTTCCTCCCCTCCTTCCTCGGACTCATTAGCATTCCACAGGAGATTCCTTGGGGGGGGGGGTGCTTCTTGTATGTACACACTATGGGAAGGCACTCAGGGCTGCTGGTGGGTTAATTAAAAATTAACACAATTATGACAAACTGATGCAAGCTGGATAAAAATTAACACAATTATGATAATGCAAACTGGATAAATTGAAATAATTGTACTCGCTTTACTTTCAGAAAGGGTTCAGAGGAGCCTGAACTGACCTTCCACAGAATGCATTAGCCACAGTGGGCCTAATAAATAGTGCAAAAACATGTCTGCAACTAAGTGCCTTCAGGAGCAGGAGTTTTGAACCCATGATCCACCCTTTTGCTTTCTCACAATAACTTGTACCCTCTTGAAGTTGTTCCCCTCCCCAAGGGAATCCAGACCTAGGTTAAGAGGGGGGCTGTAGCTCAGCGGTAGAACATCTGCTTTGCGTGCAGAAGGTCCCAGGTTCAATCCCTGGCATCTCCAGGATAGACTCCCTGCCTGAAACCACAGAGAGCTGCTGCCAATTGGTATGATCAACAATGAGCTAGATGAGCCAAAGGTCTGACTCAGTGGTCCTGGAAACATACAAAATTATGTGCCTTGAAGGAGAGCCAAATAATGGACAATTGTGGGTGAGGCAATGGTTAAACCCTGGTTCCATAAATTTTGATGTGCCTAATACAGTGGTACCTCAGGTTACATATGCTTCAGGTTACAGACTCCGCTAACCCAGAAATATTACCTCGGGTTAAGAACTTTGCTTCAGGATGAGAACAGAAATCATGCTCTGGCGGCGCGGCGGCAGCAGGAATGATGCATTTGTTGCTTTTGTTTTCAATTTATTTTTATATTGTTTAAATTCTATATGGGTTTAATTACTTTTTAATGATGATCTGCTATAAGTTTTTAGTTTTTCTGTATTTTATCTGTGGTTTGTATTTGTATCTGTAAGCTGCCTTGAGTCCCAGTTTGAGGAAAAGGTGGGCTATAAATAAATATAATAACAATACCATAGGTATTTAATTATGCATTTTGTGATAAAATACACATTTTAGAATGCATCTTTAAATACTAATTTTCGTACTGTACTCACTTTTTGAAAAGTTTTGAAAATTATTGCAGAACAGACTTATGAATAAACACATGTGGAAAACTGACACAGACTGGAAACAGACTGATCCATCCATCTCCAGTTCTGAGAGAGCTTGTGTGGAGAAGGCAGCTGGGATCCCCCCCCCCCCCGGTTCAATAAAGAATACATTAAAAAACTATTATAACACAAAGCTTTTCTTCTTCTTGATCCATTACTTGTTTCATATTCACTCATCACTACAAGGAGCCAACTGCACATTTGACATATGCAGTAGCCATCGCACATAAAAAGATCATTCATACTCTGAGCGTTAGTCCTTCCTCAGCAAATCTGATCAAAGGTGGAACTGCAACCATCTAGCCATCCACAAGAGCACAGCTTTTAGCATTCGAAAAGAAAAGAAAAAGATTCTCAGGAAAGATTGGGCAGAACATTGCATGTATCATTTATAATTGAACAGTGCCTGTAATCCTCCTTGATGGAGACAAGTAAGGAACTACCACGCTCAGTACAGTGGGAAAAAATAAACACAGCCTTGCAGTTTCAGTGTACTATTGTGCTATTTCCAATGCTAATAGGACTTTCTCACCTTAGGGTAAATGGTGCAAAGGTAAATCAAACCAGTAAAATCTCTTTGTTTATCACTTCCCCTGTGCTATTTCTGTTCCCCAATGAACACACTGTCGTAGGCAGAGTGAGCGGCTAGCGTTTAATGTGCTGACTACAAACAGCACACAATTTACAACTCACAACTGCCGTACCTTATTATGAGCTTAACTGGCCACATTATAATACATTGCAACGGAGGTCACGACGCATAATTTGGGAGAGATGCTTTGGGGAACTCAAAAGGTAGGGTAAGATTATCGCAATGTGCATTTGACATGGATCGCAGGACACAGCACACTTGGGTTTCATTTGAGGCGCCGCAATCACGGGGCAGGAAGGATAGCTCCCATTCAGTGGCTGCCCCACTGGGATTAGAATCACAGGCCTTTTTCGCTCGAGTGCTAAACATGCCATAGTTTAAAAACAACACACAGCCATTCAAAGCAAGCGCAGGAAAGCTTCATGGAAAGGTCAGGGTTTTTCCTGATGATGAAAAGCCATTAATTAGTGGGCCTGGTGCTCATATGCCAACACTGAGTGCCAGAATGGAGAACACCTGTCCCTGTATACTCCGTAAAGGAGGTACAAATGAATGTCCTGGTTCTGGCAGGAAGCACCAGTGACTCTGGTCTACCAAAACGCGGTGTTCTACCAAGTAACATAACATTCAAAAGAGCATGTTCTGTCTTTTTGAGAATGGAGGGGGAGAAAGAAGAGTTACATGTGAGCTGCTTCTTTCAATAACTCAGTTTTGGAAAGGGAAGCAATCTTAAGAGCTGCAAAACAGATCTTGAGTTTCTTCCCATGCCAGCTGGAAGAGAAGGAGTCAGCTGCGAGTGACTGAGGATGCAAGGGCCTAAAAAAACACACCCAGATCTCTTGCTTTGGAGTAAAGCCAGTAGCAGTCTTGGAAACTGGGCGATTTAAGAGAGGCAAGGAGAAGGACTCAGGAAGTAAGAGATGACTCCTCACCCAGCCTTTCTGTTGGTGAAATGCTCTGCAAGGAAAGGGAGAAATGTTACAGCCTTCCAGATGATGCAAGAAAAGGAACTCCAAAACTGCAACAAGAGCCTTCAAAGGTAGTGCTAGCACACTGGCATTCTGGATGCCATTAACGGCAAAAGGCCCATTGCAGTTCTCAAGAGTGAGGGGCCCTGTTGCCACATTGCTCATTAGGGCTCAAGGTCCCACGTCACACAGGGAGCCTCCAGGCATAGAGCAGGCTCTCTGTTTCAGAAGTTATTAGTGTTTTGTGTTGTGTTTATTGGGAAACAATAGAAATTCACTCAGTGAATTACAATGTGGCAAGAGGGACACAATGGAGGGGGACGCAATGGAGGTGGGCAGGGCCAGTGAGCATGGTCCCGCTCTCCACCTCACACCAACATAGGAAGCTGCCTTATACAGAATCAGACCATTGTTCCATCTAGTTCAGTACTATCTACACCGACTGGCATTGACTCTCCAGGAGTTCACAGAGGAAGTCTCTATCATCCCTACCTGAAAATGTTGAGGATTGAACTTGGGACCTTCTGCATGCAAAGCAGATGCTGTGCCCCTCAGCTGTAGCCCTTCCCCTAATTCCACTGGAATCATAAGGAGCTGAACACACGGCAGGGGCTACTGTGGTCCCTTGACTCTAAGGCTGAAAGAGACTGCCGTTTTTGGAGCTGCACCTGCATTCTAATTACACTGGGAACTAGTTGAGTGTAGGCTTTAGTTGAGTTTGACCAAACTGCGGGAGGCAGTGGAAGACAGGAGTGCCTGGCGTGCTCTGGTCCATGGGGTCACGAAAAGTCGGACACGACTAAACGACTAAACAACAACAACAACAGGATTTAGGAACTACATCCAGTCTCCTTGTCCCAGTTCCCCATAGTTGTGGGAACTGCTTGGTTCACAGCAGTGCTATTTTTCTAGAAAAAGAGGTGCCGGAACTCACCACAAACGCCTCCCTTGTTCTCTTATAATGGCAATGGCGCCTACCTGAGAGGTGCCGGAACTGAGTTCCAGCTGAAAAAAAGCATGGCGAGAGGCTATGAAAAACCAGGTTCTTCGCTGGTTGGACATGAGATACATACTTCTCTCCCATTCCCACCCAAAAGATTCTGGCTGCTTTCAGAGCCATTAATCTGAAGCAATTGCTTTCAATCTCATTAAATGGGCTCCGGTACTGCATTACAAAGCATTTCAAAAGAGGCAAGTAATTCGCTGTCACCTAGTCTATCGAAATCTGAAATGGCGTGCATTCTGCACCAGAAAATGAATGGCTACAATTCTGCAATGCTTTTACTTAAGCCTTTCTTCTCAGAAGTGAATTATAATTTACTCCCTATGCAACATTTGGCCCTTGACGTGGAAACCAATAATCTTCAATCTTTCAAGTCTTACCCATCTGCTAAGTATAACAGCCAAGACAACTGGCATGCCAGGAATTGGATGAAGCCAGCTGCTTCTGCAGTATCATAGCACTAATACTCAGTGACTATCCTTCGAGAACGCTGGGCTTACTTGATATTTTCCTGTGGAAGCAATTTAAAACATACCCAATATATTTATTTGCTTGTTCATTTAAGCCTGCACTTCACCTTTCCTCCAAGGAGTTCAGCTCTGTGATTTAGAGTCACAATAGATGGGACTGAGAAGAAGTCACAACTTGCCCAGCTGGCCATCTAGGAATATTATAGCACAACAGGGATGTGAAGCCACATCTTAAGAGCTACATTCACAATGAAGACTCTAGACCTTTGGCCACATAAGGTTTCTGTTCCAGATTCACAGCGAGGATTGCGACATGAAACAGGGAGCTATGGAACATGGAGATTCAATTAATGCATGAACAAATTGGATGCAAAGTCTTGGAGCCAAAATAGTCACCCCTTTGATGCTAGCCTCAATTTTTCAGTACCCCACAGGATACCCTCCTCATATAGAAGACCAGACGTGGGGAACATTGGGCCCTCCAGATGTTGCTGAACTACAGCTCCCATCAGTCCCAGCAACACTACCCATGGCCAGGGATTGTGGTACTTGTAGTACAGCAATACCTGTACTAGACTCTTAGATTATCCAGCATGGCAGGAGCTGAACTCAATAGGTATTGATTGATTGATTCGCAGTGTGCATGGCGGACCTTCCAGGCCTTTCTCTTTCTCCAGTGATCAGGACTCTTCCTAAGGCCACGCTCCACCTCAGGCCACATCCCCCACCAGCCCTTCTCTGTGCCCTTCTCAAAAGCTTTTCCCAGACTAGAATGTATCCTTGAACTGCCTTTTGCTTGTGTGGATGGAGAGATCCGTGTTATGTGTGAAATCTCTGCTGGAAGGTCGCTTAACGTACAAAGGTAAAAGAAACCGATGTCCATTTTCCCACCATCTTTCTTCCTCTGACCTGGCAAAAGCCACTCTCATGTGTGTCCTGGAATGTTGCCCATGAGGGAACACAGCCCTTGGGCTGAAAGGAAAGTTCCCCACCTCTGATTTATAAGTATTTTTTTACCTTCAATCATATTCCCAAGACGGTTTATATGAATAAAAAATAAATAAAATGCAAATACAAGCAAAATAAACCAATGCACTATCAAAAAAGAAGCAGAGAAAAAAGAAAGTTGTACCTAAAAAACTTGAGAGGGGAAAGAAGAGGACTTTGTGTTCCCAAAAAGGTTGTAAGGGCAGATGTCAGATGAATCTCTCTGGGGAGAAGTTCTGTAAGACTGTGTGGCCCTCATTCTTAAACATTATCGACCCCATCCAGAGGACTGCCATATCAAACTCCACTTGTAATATATTAACAGCTCAAAATATAACTTGTCAGTTCTCCTTCCATATCTACCAACACATAATTGAATTACCTCTCTACAGTTTATATGAATAAGAGTGGTTAAGGCTTAATAAAGGTCAACTTATCTACAGCAAACAGGATGGTTGTAAAAGGGAGCACATTTACACACACAGTCTAACAGAAGTAATTTACTCCAACATTAACTTCAGTATTAAGTACTTTACAAGTGCTTTTCACACGGCTATTTCAGGTCAAAACCACTGGTATTCCATATGCTTCAGTGTTTCCCCAGTGAAAACAAGGTACATATATACTTTCAATACCCTTCTTGCATAAAGACTCTTATCGTCGCCTTTTCCCCAACCACATTGTACTGAAGGTCCTTCTCTCCTTGCTGTATTCATTTATTCTCCAACAGACAAGCCTGCATCTATTTAAATAGCAAAGTTTGTTGTTTGGGGATATAGATATCCTAGAAAACTAGCTGCCCTGTGTAAACATGTTATGAGCAGATCAGAATTAACCTCATTGGAGGTTTCACAGAAATGGCAGGATATGTGCCACATAGTGCCTTAAATTGCAATCCTAGCCACTCAGAAGTTAGTTCTACTGAATTCAATGGGGCTCACTCCCAGATAAAGGGAAGTTAGGACTGCAGCCTGAGAGTTTGTGTGCGTTTTACACTATACATGTGCACTATACATGCAACATGAGAATGTGGTGGCTCCCTGCTTATGGAATGCTCTCCCCAAGGAGGCTTGCCTGGTGCCATCATTACATTATCTTTAGGAACCAGGTGAAAACAGTCATATATAGTCATGATGTGCGAGATGTGGAAATTAATAGCAGCATGTTAAGTTAAATAACCAAGCCAAAAAGATACATGAGCTACAGGGGGTCTAGACTCATCCAGACAACTTTAAAGAAAAGAAAAGAAATAAACCAATCTGCTTTGAAAGTATCTTTTTTTTGTTTCTCCACGCATCACTCCACAGCGTTGCGCAAGTTCACCAGTCAAAGCCAGCACCACACCCTATTATACCACTTGTCGATAATACACCTGTCTGCAGATTGAAATTTGCTCCAATTTAGCACTAAAGAGCGAGTTTTCCAGGGGAAAGCAACAGGACAAGGGCAAAACTGCTGAGACTCATGCTTAGAAAGCATGGAACGAACAGAAAACCACTCAGACTTGTGCTTTCTAAGCTCAGGACAAGCAGAAGTGTGGTGTGGAAGAGTCTTGGAAACCAACCTCTTGTGCTGTCAAAGGTTTACAAATCCCAAATCCTATGTATCCTCTTTCCTTCTAAGCCCTGGTATTGTCTGTGTTTGAATGGGAGTAAAAAAAATTAGGTGATCAAAGGTGGTGGGGGGAGAGAGAATCATTCCTTTTAAATCAGGCCTTTGGCTTTTAATTATGGCCATTTTGCGTTGGTACGATGTTAACCCTGCAAAAAACGTGAGGTCTGCAGAATGGCAACTCACACTCATAACGATTAGTATCAGGAGGCACCTTCATTGTACTGTTTTTGATTCCTGTTTAAAAAGTGTTTTGTTTCAGCAAGCCTACCCAGATTACGTCATTTAATACGTATCCTTGTTCTTAAACTCTTGATTTTATCAGTATCATAAATATTTGATAATGTATTTCTTTGATTAAGCTATCTTTTTGTAAATGAAAAAAAAATACGAAAACACTTCTGCTTTAAGGAAAAACAGGACAAAATAAGAGCTGTATATTACCGGGGGGGGGGGGGCGGGGGTAGGTAATGGCAAAGAAGGACTTTTTCTCCAGTACCATTACACAGCAGCAGTTCTCAAACTATTTTTCCCATGAAACACTTGAAAATTACTGGAGGTCTTGGCAGACCACTTAATAAACTTTTTTATTGTTGCTCTACAATTCAAAGCACATACATGACTCATATTTTAATAACCTTTTTGCCTTACCAATGCAACAGATGTGCTTTGGGATTAAATAAGAATATTTTTAAAATAAAAAGCAACAACTCCCACCACTGCCCTTCCACAATGATATAATCACCGAAGCCAGCACAAAATTATGAAAATTGTTAGCCTGATAACCCAGCCCTGATCAAAATGGTCTCAAGGGCAGGTCCACGTACACGTATTCTTGATTGCTCTGCAACCTTCTCATGAGTCACCTGAACGGAACTCGTGAACCACAATTTAAGAGCTTCTGCTGTGGCAAAGTTCCCCAATCATAGTGCCTGCCACATGTCTTATAGACTACAGTTCCCATCCACCTCACCCAGCATGGATGTGCTACCTGGGGCTGCAGGGAGTTATCATAGAATTTTAGAACTGTAGAGTCCAACCCCCTGCAATGTAGGAATCTCAACTAAAGCATCCATGACAGGTGGCCACATAGTTCAGAACTTTTGGAAGGCACCAGGTTGGGGAAGGTTGTGTTATGGAGCTGACTGGAGTGCATGGAGCGTATGCTCTTCTACTTTGCATTGCTTTTCTGCTGCTGAGAAAATACATTACTGTTCCATATTCTCTTGTACTGAGCAAAGCATGCTGGAGAATACTGCATTGCAGTCACTCTCTCCCTGTCTGTGTCTCAGGGTGGGATGTGGGTGGCGCTGTGGTCTAAACCACGGAGCCTCTTGGGCTTGCTGATCGGAAGGTCGGCAGTCCGAATCCGTGCGATGGGGTGAGCTCCCGTTGCTCTGTCCCAGCTCCTGCCAACCTAGCAGTTCGAAAGCACACCAGTGCAAGGAGATAAATAGGTACCACTGCAGCGGGAAGGTAAATGGCATTTCCATGAGCTCTAGCTTCCTTCACGGTGTTCCATTGCGCCAGAAGCAGTTTAATCATGCTGGCCACATGACCCGGAAAGCTGTCAGCCTGAAAGCGAGATGAGCGCTGCACCCCATAGTCGCCTTTGACTGGACTTAACCACTTAACCGTCCAGGGGTCATTTACCCTTTTACCTCCTTACCTCACAGGGTCATTGCGAATATAAAAAGGGGAGGGGATCATGAAAGGTGCCTTTGGGAGGCAAAGGCAGGCTATAAATGTAACACACCAATGAAACATACAGCAATAAATTATATAACCCTTTTTAACCACCTCTTACCCTGGAGGGAAATGGCCAGTTAAAAGTGCGCAAGCTGAGATTTTAATGCCTCTTCTTACCAGAGACCCTCTTTAAAAAACAAAACAAAAAACCTCTTGTCACAAGTCAATATTCATTTACAAAATTACAGAGAATATTATTTCTCTTATACAGCCATCGAGAATATTTTTTTAAAAGGGCACTTTCTAGTTAACAGTTCTATCACCTACTCTTGACTACTTCTAAACCTGAATATGGAAACTCAGTTCCAATGACATGTAACCATGACAGATAGGGAACCAGTAAGTTTTCTCCCTGGTGTTTCCTGAGGGCAAAGCAATGGCTGCAACAACTAAATGGTTATGGCTTGTTTTGAAGAAAGATGGAGAAGAAAGGGAGGGGAGGGAAGGGAGAGGCATCACTGGACTTTGAACCACAATCTGTTTTCAGCAAATACAGCCATGACCTTGGCTTTCAAACAATACAAAACACCAACATATTGAGGTGAGTTAACCCAGTCCCATAGTAACATGTTTCAGGTTCAGTGCCTCAAAAGCGAATGCCGCAAGGCATCAAATGTGCTTCTTCAACATTTAGGTATTAACAATCCTGCTCTCAGCAAAGAATACAATCAAGGATGAGAGAGAGAAAGGTTGAGAAGTCCCAGGTTCCCATAGTTTCACAGGAATTTTCATTCAAATGTCCTCCCTGTTTTATGGACTGTTCTTCGGTGTTTGCAAAGGTAGGAGAAAAACCTAATGGGTCTTCCAATGATTATGTTAAATAGAATAATGGGTATGCATCGATCCTTCCAGCTAATTCCACTTCAAATAATACATCATCCTGAGTGAGAGCTTTTGCTGTGATGTATTAACTTAATTCACCATCACAGCATTAGGAAAAGTATTTAACGTGAGATATTAACTAGCAATGCCAAAGAGAAGGTTGCAATTATTTTGCAGGTTATGCTAAAATGGTTTTAAAAGCCACTGAGCTCATTTAATATAATTTAGAGAGGCCTTACGCACATCAAGTTCTCTGACAGCCCTCAAGCATGTGTGGAATGAATCACGGCATTTCACAGCTTCTCATGGAATATCATCAGAAGAACATTCCACTGTGGCAGGTGGTCACTCCCTCTTCCCAGACTCAGAGCCAAAATGCACAATTGGAGCATCAGATGGTACAGCTTCTGCTGTCCTGAGTTTAGGTGGGGGTTCATATGTTTGAGTTATTCCTTTTTTCTTTTATTCTTTTAAACCTAACCTCTTTCTACCCAAAAAAAATTACATGGGCGAGCCTCAGGGCACCAACACTCCCTTCTGCTTTTGATTAACTATCGTTCAGAGTTGTGTTCAAACCCAAACCTGTAGGTGATCTTAACTATCCTGCAGGCCTTTTCGCACCTGGTCTGGGAGGACTGACTCCAGCTACAAACGCGGAGACGGCTGAAAAGTCCAGAGGCCATTCTGGAACACCTGCTTTGCAAGCCTTTTTCTACCGGCGTGTATTGCCAGCCCCAAGACTCACGCTCTATGCCGCTACCGCCTTAAGGAACCTAGCTCCTCACTGCCATAACCACCAGCTGCACCTACTTTCCCTTGTCTGTCTCATCATTGCTACTGCTGGCTTGTATGCTAGGTGGAGAACCAAACAGCAATCAGGCAGTAGCATCTGCTGCTCTTCCTTCTCACCACCACCACTGCTTGGGGCTGAGCTTGCCAGTGGGTGCCCTGCTAGGGTGTGAGCCCTCAACAGATGCCCAGTCAAGCCAACTTTTGTTGTCAGCCCTGCTGCCAGCATGAGTGGGTGAAGTTAGGAGCACTTGGTGCTGCTTCATGACTTCATAGCTTATGATAGTTTGAAGTGGGGCAATGAAACACCACAGTGGTGGAATGATCAACCCCAGATTTGACTGATAGAACGTGTTCCTTGCAGCTAAGCACAGGGGGGAGGGGGAGGGGAAGCTGAAAGTTTATTCAGAGCAATTCTGGTTTTCTGTGCTTGCTTGCTTTCCTTCGAGAAAATAATATGGCTCCCTCCCCCTCCTTACAGCATGCAGTCTACTTATTTAAGCAGCAGTGTGCAACATCTCTCAATACCACCAGCAGTTCAGCTGGAAAAATTGCACACCAGGGGGTAACATTTTATCAGGATGAAGCCTATTTTATAAAAACTGCCATCAGCGATACATGGAGCTCTCAATACTTGGAGGGGTGGGGTGGAGGTGGAGTCACATGGATCCGTGCTTTAGTGTCACCGCAACCTGTCTAATTTAACGAAGAGAAAGACCAAGTATGAGAAGAACTATTTCACTTAAAATGAGGAAGGAAAAGGAAAACGTTTCGGGGGAGCGGGGGGTGGGGACAAATTGCAGTTCTTTGTCTGAACATTTGAAAAGGCAAAGTTTGATGTTAAGGCTGAAAATGGGCTCTTGCATCTACACCTCAGAAAAGAAGCATATTTTTGCAACTTGAAAAACTGTGTAATAAGAACAACAATTTGCAGAGCACAGCAGGTACATTTCTGTGATATATAAAGTGTGTGCAGCGGGGGTGGGGGAGCAGATTGTGGTCTCCATATCATAAAATGAAATATGCTTGTTGGGTGAATGCTGCTGATAAAATTGGTATTCTGATAGCCTGTTACAGCTGCATTAAAAAAAACAACAACCAGCTTGTCCAAAGATTACATGTGGTCATGTAGGAGACATATGCTAGTTCTAAACCCCGCCACACACTTTCCCACATCAAGCAGGAACGTCTGAGGGTGTTTGTGATTGTGTGTAAGCATGTTCAATTAAATGCACTTACAATGTATCCACAATCAGGGACCCCAATTGAACAGGGTTTCCAGTTGTAGGAAGGCTTGTAAGTGTTTCAGTGACATGCACTTACCAAGTTCCTTTAAGAACTTCCCACTCAACATGGGAAGGTTGAGGGTGGAGAAGGCAGGGCAAACTCACAAGGCAAAGGGCAACATCAGCTGACTGGGGGGCGCCTACAAATTCCATTTCCTTTCCTTGTGGGGGTCTAAAGTCAAACCACACAAGCAAAGGAACCAGGTGCCACAGCTTTACCTGCCCCAAACTGGATGCCAGATATGATGTCATGTTTAGGGCAGGTGGGCATGGCTTGGGGGAAATAGCCTGATGGGCCCAATTAGGAGCCCACCACTGCTTCATTGAGATTCTTTGGAGGGGTGGAGGTGGGGTAGAAGTCGTCTTCAGAGAGGGCTGAAAAAGACAGCCTGTTGCTTCCAAGAGGGACTCTGCATTATTAAAAAGTCCTAAATAGTGACACACCTCCTGGCCAGGCAAAACAAAATGTGAGGCATCCCCCAGTTAACTTTTAGGCTAAAGAATCTGTTCAACATTTAGGCAAAATGACCTGTTCAATGTGCTTGAAATGGATACAAAGGTCTCAAAGAGCCGTCCAATGTATTTTCAGTGCTGGTTCCCAGTATTTAGAGGACTTCAAGCAAGATGCTCTCTATTGGTCCTTAAAATATAAATCCAAACACACACACACACACACACACACACACACACACACATTTATGGGGCTATTATACAATAATGAGCATTCTTTCTGATTTGCTTGTGGAGTGTTAACACAGCTTTCCATCAGTCATTCATTCTTCCCATACTTTTCAATGCACTTCCCCATTACTTTCCAAATTGCTAAATTATCTTTTTTCAAAAATGGATGAGCTAGGGCAACAAAGCACTTTAATCTACTTGAGATGCAAACACCAGTGTGCATTGGAATGCCCCTCACAAAACAC